TTTGCCTGGTGCCAAGGATGCTGGTGCCTCCAGATCATCTTTGGGATATGTTGCACTTGTTGATAGGTAAATAATTGACCTTCATAAAAGCACCAGGCAGGGAGGTTTGGAGGCTTCTTGGGAGACCCCGGCAGCAGCTGGTGAGCTCCCAGCCCGCTGTGCTGCCAGCACGCCTCTGTTCTGCCCTGTGCCCTTCCCCAGGATATAAGAGGGACATTGGGTCTTTGGCTCCTCTACTGGGGTTGCCAGCCAGAGTGTTAACTGGTGGCTTTTGGCTCCTGCTCCCTGTAATCTGGACAGAGCAGAATGTGCTCGTGAAAGCTTTCGTCAGCTTAAATAAAGAACACTAACAGTGAGCAGAGCCCGGGTGGGTTTGAACCAGTGTTTTGCACTCTGTCAGAGTCCTCTGAGACCCCGAATATTCTTTAAAGAAAGCGGTGGCAGTGCATGTTATCTCCTTGGCCTCCCCGAGATGACAGATAACTTTTCAAGCCGCATTGCCAGCACACAGTAACGAACAGCCGTAGATCCCAGCTCTCGCTTAATGAGAATTTGTATAACAAGAAGTGACAGCCCCCTGCTAGCCCACAGCAACCTGGTCACATCCCTACACAATACGAGCAGAGGGTGGGTTGTGTCATTCTTGTGTGATACTTGTCTGGTATTTTTATGTTGTGGCTGTCTTTATCCTTTGGTCATGTATGCCCAATGCATTTTGTTTAGTGTGATTGGATTTGAAAGCTTTTCATTTTGATTCATCTCCTTTAATTATCAGTCTTCCTTTTAAATCTTTAATTTTAGATTCTACGCAGCAGAAATAGCCATCGGCCTCTTCTTCCTGCAGAGCAAAGGCATCATTTATCGGTAGGTGAGCAAGTTCCTCCTTCCTCTCTTCCCCAGAGAACTCCAGCCACAGCCAGAGCGCTGTAACGACCGCGATGCTCTGCAGGGCTCCTGCAGCCCCGTTCTGCAGAGCAGCGACCGGCCACGGGGCTCTCCTCCCTTCTAATGCCACGGATGGGGTCTGGCAGCTGCCCGTCGGTTATGCACGCCCAAAATGGAGCTGGGAGCCTCATAGCGTCACTGGTTTTTGAGAAGGTGCTTGTCTTTGTCCCCATTTTATAGGAAAGAGAGCTCATGAAGGCAGCTTTGGTTCCTCTCTTGCCTCTATTTCATGCGTTTCTCTCCATATGACACAAATGCTCACTGGCAGCATGGGCTGATTCTGAGCCACGTACTTTGCTGCAGGGCACTATTTTCTTACCGTTAACATGACAGCAAGTTCTTATGAATGGTTTTTCCTGAGATCTGCAGTGCAAGTCTGTCACTTCTGGTTTAGACCCTAAAACTTCCTTTCCATTCACAATATGATTTACAGCATCCAGAGTTAGCTAGGTTACTGCTAAGTGCCGGACGGGGCTCTGAGGCTGCTGGTTAAGCACTGAAACTAGCGTACCGCTGCTCTTCCCGGCTCGGGAGTATTCCCAGAGCCCAAGGTAGAGCAGAGCATCCTAATGAGTGTCAGATACCATTAACTGCTTTGCAAAAAGAAATGCCAGCTGTGCTACTGAAGTTATGAGATGCTGAAGACTGTTCTGAAGATGAAAGAAGTGGAGCAAACCTGATGTGAGGGATGTTTTGCCATCAGCTGCTGCAGAGAGATTCTAGGTCTGCCGGTCCCCAGTGCCCCTTCTTCCTTCCTTCCTTCCTCCGAATCTGAATCCAGGCTTGTGTCCGTCTGCCTTTGGCCCGTCAGTGTTCTAGGCACTGACACAGTAACTGGAAAAACAGTCTTAAAAAACAGCAAGAAGTTGTAAATTATGCTGTTCCTTTTATTGGGCTCTTAACAAAGTTAAGCCTCATGCACCGTGCAGCCCCACGGCTCTGCTGAGCAGGCTGTTCCCAATGGGGTATTTCAGCCGGGGGTCTCTAAGAAGGGGGCTCACGCAGACACGGTGTGCCCTTCACACCAGCTCCGGGACGTGCGATGTGCATTTGCTCTTCACCTGCAGACGGGGTGTGCAGCTGGGCAGAGCTGCAGAGCCCTGGCCAGCCGAGCCGCTGGGCAGGCAGGGCACAGCTTGTACCTGTACTGATGTGCCGCTCTGTCACCTGCCTTGTCACTTAATGTAGCCCTCGGGCAAGGGAAATCTTGCCGACGTGCTCCAATATTGAAATGGAGACCTTTGAGTAATGCCTTACTGTACAGAACATAAGCCAGGAATGGCACGGATCACAGAACTGCGTGGTAATTACATGGCTGGTAATGTATAAATAGCACCTGAAATACTGTTTGCTACAAAACTGTCCTTCAGGCTGGAGCACCCACCTGTGGAGAGGCTGGTCAGGGCTTGGGAGTCGGATCAGGAGCTCTACAGCTGAAACTGTCTCTACAATTTGTGCTAAAGAGCAAAGCTCCTGCAGGGTTGGATATAACTGACAGATACTCTGTGGGCACGGATCAGAGAGAAACACGGTTGATTTGTATTTTCATGGGGGAGCATAGCATAGGTGATGCAGCGACTTCTGCTGAGTAGGTACTTCTTCATTGCTGGTGAGCTTTAAGTGCACTTTGATTTTCATAGGCGCAAAAAAAATTAAACTATTAAACCTGTCTCCCTGCTATATGAGAGTGTTTTCCATCATACACTTAAAAGCGATTTGCCCAGCATGGTGTTCCTGTGGGTTAAAAGTGAACTAAACACTTCATCCTGACAGATCTCTGACTTGTTTTTACTCATTTCCCCAAACTTTTTCCTACAAAGAGTCTGGGTGTGAGACAAAGCCAGACCTCACTCATCAGAGAGCACTTGGGCTCAGGAAACTTGTTTCTTTGCTGGGTGGCTTCATGAGTGGTCTTTTGTATAATTCTTTTGCTTTCACTTTGTAGAGACCTAAAGCTGGACAATGTGATGCTGGATAGCGAGGGGCACATAAAGATCGCAGACTTTGGCATGTGCAAGGAGAACATCTGGGACGGGGTGACTACCAAGACCTTCTGCGGCACTCCAGACTACATTGCACCTGAGGTAGGAGATGCAGAAAGGCAGTAGATGCTCGGTACGTGCTTCAGCAGCCTGTCTGATGCTCTTTTCCGTGGGATGACTTTGCTTTGGGCAGCTTTCTGATTGAAACAGGGACATTGGTGAATTCACCGTCAGCCTGGAAAGTTCATCCCCTTCAGCACTGTCCATCCCCCCAAAGGCTACAGCTGCCTTTAAGGAAGCAGCGATGCTGGATCTGCCTCTCCGTTTGGCTGCATGCCCTGCTTCTGCCTCAAAGTACAGAAAAACCTCCGTGCTGGTCTCCCTGCAGTGTTTTCCCTCTCTGGGTGTTTTTCCCGTGTCTGTGCCACTGGCATCCCCGTGCCTGTCTGATCCTCGGCACGCTCAAACCCACCAAGGGCTTCTCCTCGCACGCTTCCGTGCTCCTGGAAAAGATGAGCCCAGGAGCTCGGCTTTGCCCCTCGCCGCATGTGACAGCCGCTTCCAGCACAACGTGACCAGTGGGGAAAAATGGAATTATCGGTGCATAGTATTTCCACGTGAAGTGGAAATCTTTAGATCTCTCCAGCTTGCTGCTTGCAGCAAAGGGCTGTGTGCCTCATGAGGAGAGGCTCCCTATATACAGCTCTAGATCACTGCAAAATTATTTTGCATTTGGTTATTACGTATGTGATGGAGTCACATATGACAGTTACATGAAGTGCAGTATGGGTGCAATTTAATGTCAGACTTGTGAAATTCAGGTAGGTAATTATCCCCAAATGCCTGTTCCCTTAACATAAAAATATCCTTCTAAAATCTTCTCACTCTGCTGAATTTTCAATGATGAGATTAATATTTATTCATTTAAATATTTTAGAGAAAGAGATTCTCTTTGCTAGGACATAGTTAGATGCGCTTGTGTGCTAATCTACATTGTGTTTTGCTGCAGCCAGAGAGGTTTTTACTTACTCATTCAAATGTGTATTACATATCCTCATCCTACCAACATTAATATTGGTGTCCTGTTGGTGCATAGCTCAGTTGCTGTGTGTGATAACACTCTTTTTGGCCAGTTCTCTTGGTATTTGCCTGATCATTATCACTTAAACTCTTATTTTCTTCTGCTTGCTCTAATTTTTTTTCCCCCCAAAATAAAAACAGAAGATGGGAAATTAGGGTGCAAATCACTATGGTATCCCAGAATGGTGTTAAAGCCTGCTGCCCCTGGGTCTCAAAAGAGTGAATATACACATCCCCTACTTTCTAAATAGAAATAGGGGGTATACAGTTCTGGCGTGGTCTCCTGCTGGGTGGCCAAGCCTGTGGCAGAGCCGGGGTCCCTGCGTGTAGCTCCACTCCACGGCCCTTCTGCTGGACCGTGCTTCCTCCTGTTAGGAAGCTGCAGTGTTCTCAAGCCAACATGTCTTCAGGGTAAAAATGTCCTGTGATTTGCATGACCCATTTTTAGGGCTTTTTCTGTTCTAAGATAGAGCTCTGCATGCCAAGGTGACAGGTACTGAGTGCAAATGACCCCACGTGTATAATCTCCTCTGAACAAAACATGTTTTTCAACTGTTGGGTTTTGACCTTCCCTAACGTGCAGTCGGCGACTTCAATTTACAGAGACTGCTTTTCTGCAAGGATTTCTTCTAAGTACTATTTTCTTTTAAAGGCCTTTATGGTGTGAACAGTTCACACCTGAATTTCCCAGAGCACTCTTAAATCATCTAAAGAACAAGTGGGATGAACTTCAAGTGCGCTCAGTCGAGGGATTTCAGAGGTGAAACTCGACATCTGATCTCAGTGGGAAGGGTCAGGCCTGATGGCAGGACGCCGTCAAGGCACTCAGAGTTGTGTCACCGTGTTTGGATGTGTGGCTGGACCAGGACCAGGACAGAAGAGAGGATTGGCATCAGTCTTGTCCTCTGATCGTGCCTCCGTGCTGATGCTTTCGCAGGATGGAACTCATCTCTTCTTAGGTGGGGTGGCAGCACCTGACCTCATCTTCACGTACCTCCCGGTCGGATCCCGTTGGATGCTGCGGAGGTCTTTTGCAAGGACAGGGGCGGCTGAACGTGAGGTCTCTCGCGGTTGCAGGCATTGCCCGCAGCCACGGAGCCGCAGGGCTGGAGCCTTGCTCTGGAGCAGGGGTAGCAACGGCAGGAGCAAGACCTCTGGGGCCGGATTGCTGTGTACATTCTCCTGTGATTAGCATACGATTTGCATTTGTACTCAAGTGTAGGAATCTTTGCAGAATAGAATTCTGTAGTTGGGATGAATAAATTGCGTAATTGTTTTGCATTAAGTAACAGATGGCAAAGCCCAAGGCCTGTCAAACCCCAAACGCTGAAATGATGCCCAGCAGCAGCAATCCAGCAAATAAACGGGAGCTTGAAAGACCCTTCAAAGCAGAAAGGTGCCTGTGGGAGCCCGGCTCCTTCTGCAGTCCCTGGGTTGGACCTGTCAGTGCTCCCCTTCAGGTGTGTCTGCAGCCTCCTGCTGCAGCCCGGGTGTGCTGGAGGGTGGAGGGACCCCCCCGTGCTGAAGGGAAGGAAGGAGGGGGCTGGCTTCTGGCAGCAGCCCACGGCCAAGGGCGCGGACCCGGCCTCTTGCTGCGTGCCTGAGCCGAGGGACACGGAGAGCTGAGCAGCAGAGGTGCCCTGGGAAGGTGCCGCGGGGCTCGCCCAGGGCTGGGTCCGTTTCTCCAGCAGCCGCTTGTCTTGTTTGTGTGTGGGGTCTTGCTAGTGAGGGACTGACCCCCTTGCTGGGCTCAGCTGTAGGTACCCCAAACCACCGACGCGCACGGGTGAGGTCACCTGCTCTACGGGGGCAGGTTAGCTGGGTGGCTTTGCTGCAGGGGCGTATGATTATGAAATTTAGGGTATTTCAGATTTTGCAGAGTAAATCATGGAAAAACACAAAAATTCATGTTTTGGTGCCTTATCCAAAATAAATGTTGATATTTTTAAATTAAAAAAAAAAAAAAACCCGAAGTTATATCCTAACTCCAAAACAACCACATTGCTCAGGTAAGGGTAGGGACGTTGGTTATTAGGTTATTTTGTGAGAGATGTTCTGCAATAAATAACAGAAAGCAAACTGGCAGCCTGGAATGCAGAGGGTTTTAACTACCCATAAGCTGCAAGTCTGTTTTAAAGGCTGACGTACCATCCACAGAGGGCCAAACTCTGTGT